ACACTGAAATGTTATTGTCTTAATTGTCTGTCACACAGATTCCTGTGTTTACTTTTATCTTACTCACTGTACTATTTACACTTTCCCCTCCTATTTCTCTTTCTCTGTTGAGAGAAGTGATTGGTCACACACTTCTCGCCACGCTCCAATCCGCGGCTACCACGGGTAGGCGGAATCAGTGACTAGTCTACGTTTTGGGAAGACGTACTTAAAGAGCTTGCTCTTAAAGTAGCAGTCGAGCACGGTAGACGTTCTGTTCCTTTCTCTCTCTATATCTGGGACGCCTTGTATAGGGAGGATGGGACAGAAGTTAGATAAACCCAGTAAGGGTTGGTTAGCATGTGATCTAGTGGAAGACAGAGAAGGAGAAGAGATGGTTAAGAAAGTGAGGAAGATTGCTAAAGTATGTGGAATTACCGTACCTCCGTGCGGCAGATTGTAGCCAGAGAGCTGGCGTAAGTTACTGACAGAGAAGAAAGGGAAGCTGTCGGACCACAATTTGGTTCGTACAGCAGAAGCCTGGTACCGAGTAGCAAGAGCTATTCAGCAAAAGGGATAGGTTGAGGAAGAAATTGATCACAAAGGTTTAAGATTGTTTGTGTATTATAATAATTGTGTTACTGGGAAGTCCTCCCAGCCAGCGCCCTATGATGGCGCCCAGGAGGTGACCACTCCCAACACCGCGTCAGCAATGACCGAAATGTAGCTGACCATGGTCCCCACCCCTGATCCCCACCCTACTACCACCCCTGTTTGCCCAGTCCTGAATGCTGATGGATCCCTATTCTTCCCCCCCCCCATCAGTCCTACAGATCTCGTCACCCTCATCCTCTCTCTGCAGCTCCCTGCACCTCCAGTCCGTTTCTCCCGTCAAAGATTTCTGGTTTCCAAACGTATAAGTCTCTGTCCTTCTGTCTTGTTACTTTACAGCACTCACATGGTTAACCTTTATGCCTGCAGTCTCTCTCTCTCCCCTTTTTTGCACTGTCTCACTTTCTCCCCTCCTCCTCCCCGCTTGCCTATGGGGGAGGAGTCACATGCCTGCATTTCGGAGCTACTGATAAGAGTTAGAGAGGGGATTTTTGCTGGAAAATATTCTAATTCAAAGGTTATGGTGTTATAATTGTGTAATAATATTATTATTGTTGCCGTTTGCATGGCGCCGGCAGATTCCACGGTGCTATATATATATATAAATTGTGTTTTGTGATAAAGTAGTGAGGATTGTGGGGGAGACACAAGGATGTAGCTCAGTGTTGATTTACGGAGGTTAGGTAAGTGAATCTGATACAAGAATAGAGGAATATTTGGACGTGTTAAGTGTAAAGGCAAGCGTGATTTGTTGCAAAACTATGCAATGTGGATAGAGGGAATATGCGAAGTTGTTTAGTATGTGAAGAGGAAAGTGATTAATGGTTGGAGGATGATAAGGGAAATTGGTTGAATTCCGTGAGTTTATTTTGCATCATTTTATTATTTTAAAGTTATTTTAAAGTACATGTTTCTATGGACAGCTGTATGGGCTGTTAAATGCATAATGTTTTCAACTGTCTTATTTAACCTGCCAGGTCTGTTCATAGTTTAGTATTTCATTTTGCAGAACAGAATGTTGCTTCTCTGACTTATTTTATTAGTTATAATATAGTGTATTGTTGAAAGTGCGTCAGCCACCACCCTAAAGATGGCGCCTAGTACAGAAGGAGGTTGACCCTGCCAGTCCCGTGACCTATCTACAGTCACGGTTGCTTCTAAAGTGACGTCACTTCCGCCCTTACCATGCCCACACCTCCTGTCTTCCTTTCCCACACATATCATGGACGTCACCCCTCTCACTTCCTCCCTTGCTGTCATTTCCTTCCCCGCCCCTGTCATGGCTGCCTCCATCATGAGGCCTACCCCTATTATGCTCGTCCTATTTAGAGACATGTTGTTTTCCTTACACTCTACATATTATGAACAGAAACATTATAATTACTAAAACAATCATGCCATTTGTTTCCCTGTATCAGAAATGTGTCCGTGATAATAATATATAAAAAAAAAAAAAAAGAAGGTTGCTAAAATGTCATTTGCAACTGTGGTGTGACCTACAAATGAGATCTGTTGGACACGAATATAAGAGCATAACAGCTGATTATCCAGATTAATCTTGCAACAAGGGAAATAGCCAAATAATGCAAGTTATTTTAAACATTGTATCTTTACTTAATCGAATCTTGCTAGTTACAGATCGTAGGTTTACAGTAACATCCTTTACTTTAAATGATGGTTTAGCATTAGAAGGGTTTGTGACATGTTTTATTAACCCAGCCACAACTGGTTATTCATTTTAGTTACAGGGTGGTATAATTGTTATGGTCTAACTAATATAAATGATAGTACCGCAATAGTTAATGTTTTACCCAAAGACATATAGGAACTTTACTTCACTTACTATTAACCATTATTTATAATGATAGACATGTTCAGACTGCAAAAAGCTATGGCTAATGACATAGAAAGGGGTTAGAGTCAGTAACACAGCCCATACAGAGGAGAGCAAACCCGCTGATGCTTAATGCCCCTGCCATGGCAGTGTCTACAGGGAACAAGGGGGGCCACTAGCCACAGTAGTTCTACCCGTTGAGGGTCATCCCACTACTTTCCTGGTTGACACAGGTGCAGCCCACAGTGTTCTTAGAGAACAAGACCTGCCTGACTCATCGTTCCTGTCTGACACCAATGTCTCTTGTGTTGGTGTTGATGGTATTTCCCGCAGTAACCTGTCCATGTCCCATTAACCTCTTGGGTGCTGATGTCCTATCCCGCCTCCAAGCATCCATGACCCTCACTGCAGACGGCCAGGTTCAATTAAATACACCTTTGTCACGAAAAGACACTACAGTTCTTTGTTCCCTTCCCATTTTACTTGGAGATGACATCCCCACGACAGAAAAATGTTCTCTGGACCTCCTTTGTTATCTTGCAGATCAGGGGTGTAAGGCATCTCTTGTCAAACTTCAATTTTGCCAGGCCACAGTAATCTTTCTAGGCCATTGCCTGTCCCATGGCACCAGACACCTCACCTGTGATCGTGGCCATTCCGCCTCCAAAAACTCCTAACTCCCTCCACGCCTTTCTAGGCCTCATTTCTTACTGCCGAGCGTGGATCCCAGAGGCCTCTCTACTCTGTCTGTCCTCAGAAGCACATGACAACTTCTACACTCTCCAACGTGCTAGTGCCTCTGCTCCCGCCCTTGGCTTGCCAAACTACACCAAACCGTACAAATTATTTGTGTCTGAAAGACAAGGCCACGCTACAGGAGTCCTTACTCAAGCCCATGGACCTGGCGGCCGCCAAAGGCCTATTGGCTTCTTCTCTTGCCAACTGAACATTGTGGCTAGAGGAACCCCCTCTTGCCTCCGAGCTGTTTTTGCCGCTCAGGAACTCATCAACCGCACTGGGGACTTGGTTCTTGGCCACCCTCTGACTGTTTTGGCACCTCATGATATTTCTGCTATACTTAACCAGGTCCAACTCAAACATGTCACCCCTGCCAAGCACCTTTGTCTCCAATGTCATCTCCTGTTACCTGACAATGTTACCCTTCAAAGATGTCAGGTTCTGAATCCGTCCACTCTTCTGCCAC